GTCTCACCTATGTTGGGGTGGTTCAGCACCTTCATTATTCGCACTTCCCGGAAGAGCTGTGAACAGCACGGGGGGTTTGGGGGGTGTCAGAGGGGACAGCCCCTCCACTGTCACCCCAAAATCAGCTGCCACCCCCCCGGGGACCCCCTGACCTTCTGCAGGCTGGAGGAGTTGAGCTGCGTCTTGTCGATGATCTTCACGGCCACCTGGGAAGGGGACAGGGGGTCAGAGTGTCCCCAGGGCTGTCCCCATCCTGTGGTGGCACCCACAGAGTGACAGGGAAGGTGACAGGACCGTCCCCAGGGCTGTCCCCACCGGTGGCACCCACAGAGTGACAGGGAAGGTGACAGGACTGTCCCCAGGGCTGTCCCCACTGGTGGCACCCACAGAGTGACAGGAAAGGTGACAGGACCGTCCCCAGGGCTGTCCCCACCCTGTGGTGGCACTCACAGAGTGACAGGGAAGGGGACAGGACTGTCCCCAGGGCTGTCCCCACGCCATGGTGGCACTTCCAGGCCACAGCTCAGGAGCCAGGAGTGTCCCCACAGCGCGGTGACAGTCACAGCTGAGCACCAGGAAGCTCACTGCTGCGCCAGGKGACACTCCCAGGGCAGGGACCAGACCCAGAGCTGTCCCCGTGCCGCGGTGGCACCCGCAGGACAAGGACTGACCCCACGCCACGGTGCCACCCGTGGCATGAGTGTGACAGGCCTGTCCCTGCAGTGACACCCACGGGACCAGGACCAGAGTCCACCCCACGCTGGGGTGGCACTCACAGCACGAGGACTGTCCCCATGCTGGGGTGGCACTGAGTGCACAAGGACTGTCCCCATGCTGGGGTGGCACTGACTGCACAAGGACTGTCCCCACGCTGGGGTGGCACTCACTGCACAGGGACTGTCCCCACGCTGGGGTGGCACTGACTGCACAAGGACTGTCCCCATGCTGGGGTGGCACTCACTGCACAGGGACTGTCACCATGCTGTGGTGGCAGCCCCAGAACAAGGATGGTGAGCCTGCAACTGTCCCTGTACTGTGGTGGCACCCACAGGACACAGCCTGTCCCCGTACCATGTTGTCACCTATGGGCCCATCCCATCCCCATCCCATCCCGTCCCC